TCTGCTTCACACTCCTCGAGCCCAGGACTATCGCAATTCTATCGCAACATCAACAGCTTCTACAATCATCCCTCCCAGGCGCCCCGCGCAGGTCTCGTCGAGCCTCACCCTACCACCAGCGCAGTCGCCATATGGGATCTACCAAGAGTTCACGCCACCGCTGAACATCGCACTGGACCCAGGTCAGATGAGGCTGGCAGCTCCTTGCGCCAATCTCGACCGCAATGTCATCTGCTGGGTAGGTCGCGTCCTCGCACCTGGGATCGTGCATATCAGTGCGGATGGGAGGTCAACAATTGCTCGACTTGCTCGGGTCGTGTGTGGTTGCGCGATTGCGCGTGAAGCTTACCTGCTCAATCGCCGGTAGGACGTTGGCATGCGCGGCGACGCGTCAAATTCTCGTTTGTACTTCTCTCACTTGCGCACACATATACTAAAGCCAGGAATTCTGTTCGAGAGTAGATGTATCTCATAGTGTATTGTGGAATAGAAGGCAGGACGTGCATTCAGTATGTACGAGGAAGCATCTTGTCGGCAAGACGCAGCTAACCAGCGTCTGATTTCACTAAGTCAGACGCATCTTTTGGCGGGCCCGCCAAAATGATCCCGGATGAGCCCAGCCGGCCTGCGGCCATACCGAGGCACGAGGTGTACCATATGGTCGCAGCCGAGCTGGTTCACGAGCCTAATTCCGGCCACAAAGAGTCTCAATTGCGCTCTCGGGAAACCTCGGCCGACGTCGCCGACTAGCTCTCGAATATCTAGCCTCGTTGCTTGAGCTCTCAAAAATCCAGCCTCGTTGCCTACCCGCACAGTTAGTAGTGTGCTGCTCCATTCTCCGCTCACGGCTCCGCCGTGCCCTCCCTTCTTCCCCTCAGCGCTCCGCCCCTCTACCGTGCTCCCGTGATTTTTCCTGTCGCGCTTGCAATCTTCCCGTCGCACTCCGCCACTTTCTCCTGCTCCCATGACCTCTCCGTCGCGCCCACGTCTGTCGGGTAAGCCGACACAGTCATGACGGCCGTCCGTCATTTACCTCATCCTCGAGATGCGCACTGTGTGCTGAAACGGAATTCTATCCCGCCCGGACGTGGGTAGCACCCCGCCCCTCCTACGTCCGGACGTGCCAGCATATTGCGCGGCATCGCCTCATCGCCTATACTTCGCCTCGTCACTCTGCTCAGTCACTTCGCCCTTATCGCCGTCCTTCACTCGAGATTTTTCCGTGCTCGTAAGGAGAAGGTCAATCAGCTTCTTACGAAGGTCAATAAGCTTCTTACGAACGTCAATAAGCCCCTTGAGATGGTCAATAAGCCCCTTGTGATGGTCAATAAGCCCCTTGCGAAGGTCAATGTATGCTTCCTCGCGGGCCTTCTCTCATTGCTTAAGCTCTAATCTCCGGCTGTAGGCTTTCCTATGGCCGAGTCGCGCTTCTGGGTCTCCATGACACGTCTGGCTCTTCATGCCACCGGTCTGAACCTGTCAACTCTTCCCTGCCTCAACAGACAGCCCTTCACGCACTTCAACCTGGCTTGTGACCTCCGGCGTGACCTAGGAACTCTTGCGGGTCCGGTTGGACGTCTGCAACTGGCAGACGCATCTGCGACTTCTGCGACGGCGTCCGGACGTACCTGCACCCGTGGCTGATCCGCACGCCCATCCATTTCGCGATCCGTGGCTTCTCTGTTCCGGTCAAGCAGAAGCTCGCTTCATTAACTCCCTTTGACTGCTTTCAGCCCCACATCCCATCGCCCAATGGGTTCTGAATCGCCCTCTTGGGTCCAGAGTCGGCCACGGTCCACTACTGATAGCCCATGGTGCGCCCCTTGCGCGCCCAGGACCTGCCCCTTCATATCCGAGAGCATCTCAACGTCCTCTCATTTCCCCCCGGTCCCGCACGGCTATCCATAATCGATAATCAGCAATTATCCTCCTCGCGCTCCGTCCTCTCCAACAAATATCCACGGCCGTCGAGCATCTCTCCACCGCCTCGAACAACTCTTCACGACGAACGATCTCGTCGCATTGGCAACCGCCCCAATCCTTGCCAACGCGCTCCGACGCGTGCCAACACGCTCCGAGGCTTGACGCCATCTCCTCCGGCGGCCATGGACGGTGACAGCGCGCGTGGAAGTCAAGGCGTTATCTCGGCAACAACACACGCCACCCTGTCGACTCCATACTTCGCCCGATGCGTATGTAAAATACCCTCTCCCACGTCTTCGCTTGCTCGTTACGTCCTGCGTCTACAAACCACTTGTCTACCAATGGCCATCGAGCTCGACCCCGCGCTGGATGATGCGCTGCAGCCGGGCCCGCGCCGTCAGCAGACCTTCCCCACAGCGCGTACACGTACCGTCGCCCTTGCCGTCGCCAGCTACGCCCATTTCCCGCGCTCAGCTGACCCGCGCGGTTCATCTCCGTCTCTTCAGACTCTTGGCCGTCTACGGTCCACACAGGTGACCATGGAGGAGAATGCTTACTGCCATCATCCCTGGGGAAGTGGTTGATTGACCGGGACTTCCATGACGTGCGATGCACACAGGGGAAGAACGTTTAGTGCGTACCGACAGCCGAGGCTACATTGACCTTCAACAGCCTTGGGGGGTCCGCATCTCGCAGGTCCGTGCGGGCTTCTAGCGAGCCCAAGGCGGCCGAAGCTACTGGATCGTCAGTCAGACCGTCGCGGTCTTGCGAAGTGACTCGGCGTACGTGACCTCCGCAGATATTTTCGAAGTGAAGGGCGCTCTGGCGCAACAGTCAACTTGAATTCGTTGGTAGGACCGGATAGGCTTCTTCACTGAGGTTGTCCGGCTAGCTAGAGGAGTTGTGTTGCGGCAGGGTGGTATAACAACCTCATCGAAGGTCTATGATGAACTAGGTGCGCACTAGTTACCCATATAGATGATGTTCGACCTTTGAGAAGTGTTGCTAGTGTCGCTCCTGTCATTTACGCCACGGTATCTTCGCTCAGGATAGGAGGCTCTCTGAATCTGTATGCAACAGATGGCACTTTCGTCCTCGTTATCCACCTCTCAGGCCAGATGGCGATGTGGACAGTTATCGCCAGTCAGAAGAGCAGCGGCAGCGCGGCGAGGACGTAGAAATATACTGCAGACACATCCGCTCCACAGAACGGTGGCTCAGCGCATGCACTCACGTTCGTTAGTCGACAGTTTCGTTATCGCGGCCTGCGCCGACTTGAATGCAGCGAATCTTGAGGGCTCCAACGTCAGTGGGTGATTTGCAGCGCTACTGATAGGCGCTCACCGACACCGGTGCCGACGAAGCGTATAGACGCCGGACTGCAGGTCACCGAAGCTCCATGTCCGTCGACGCTTTGCGAGCGCTCAAGTGAGTCGCCACCAGTAGCACCACGAAGCCTCCGTACGACCGAGCCTGCAGAACCAGTCCGGTGAGGGAGAGCTGGGAGATGTACGCGGCAGCGCAGATCCCGGCAAGTGTAGAGCTCGGCATATACACTAAGACGGGTTAGCCCTCCTCGGGAAGTCCCTTGGAATTGTTCACATACGCAAGGCGGACCCACCGATTGTCCCACAAGCTAAGGGAAAACATACCTTGTCGCCGCGAAAGGGCGTATGCAATGTCTGTCACCGTCGTATTGTGTACTCTTTCAGTCGGAAATGGGATATAAATTATACCATACGGTGTTTCTAGTCGGCCCAGGGCGCTGAATATCGACCTTATATGCGAGAATTGCACGGAGAATAATTTGCCTTCGAAAGCGGTGCAGGTGTAGACTCGCGAGGAGAGCCCTCGCGTTCTTGCTCGAAAACGAAAGTTGGCGAGGGATGCAAACTTGCACATCGCGATGGCAATATAACTTGGCCTCCTCGCTGTCCAAAAGGGTTGTCTGATATTGCCGGGGCCCGCGACGAAGAGCGTCCTTGTTGACAAGAAGCTTGCCCGTCGAGACACGCATCCATTGCATTAGAGCGGAAGTGACCGTGGTCGCAAGCGAAAGGCCTGTTCCATAGGGATGATCCCGGCAGCACCCAAGAAGGCCATGCGCCAGTCACGAGTTCAACATAGGTTTTGTTGCGACCCAAGCCTGCATCTTGTCTGAGGTCGTCAGCTTTTAAGTGCTCGCCTAACATCAGAGTCAGACAAGAATACCGCGTCGCAAACGAGAGATCTACCGTCGATCTCTACGACGCAGGAGGGCGCGTTGCCCAAGAGGTGATTCCCGATGCACATCCTTTCAACTAGTAATCAAACAAACCTCTGAAGAGCATCGCCCGACTGCGAGCTCGAGAACTAGGGACTCTGAATATGAGTTGATCATGCGATGTCCGTTGGTAAAACTATAATGTACGGCGATTAGAGTATGCAGAGTAGCAAATGAGAACCACAGTCCACACGACAGTCCGACAGGGCGAGAGAGGGAAGCGACGTAGGCGTAAACGGTATGGAACATAAGGGAGCGTACTATCTAGCGTCATGATCCGATGGCCCGTAGAAGGAGGAAAACCGTCCAGTGCAAGTCCAAGGTGAGCGTAACATCCCAAGGCTCTAAGCGTTGCTCAACAGAACGCGGTCGATCGCCGCGTTGATCGTCGACTTCCTCGCCGTGAGGTCCATCCCGAAGCGCTCTTCAAGCTGTCGCCTGATTTCGCGCTTCGTGATCGAGTTCAGGTCGGCACCCGTCAGCACCTCCTGGACAGCGCGTTCCAACTCGGCATCTGATGGTCCACCGAAGGCGTCTGGGCTGCCTGTCGTGGGCACCGGCATGTCGAGGTAGTTCGTTGTCGGGCGCGACGGCGTCGGCTGATGGAGAGATGGCGTGGGGTTGTAGACGGACCCAGTTGGGTGGTACATGAGGCCCGTGTCGTTCGCGAGTCGCATCTGGGATTGCGGCGTGTTGCGACCGGACTGGTAGCCCGGCGGTGGTGGATAGCCCATGCCTGGCATACCCATACCCATGCCCGTGCCCATACCACCACCCATGCCGCCATACAATGACGGTGCAGGCGAGAAGTGTTGCATCTGGGCGTTGTACACCGTTTCACGACCGTAGATCGAGCCGGTTCCAGACTCCGCGTAGCCGTTATTGTGCATCTTCGTCGGTGGAGCCCACGAGCCGATACTGTGGTTCGACTCCTTGTCCCAGAGTTCATTTTCCTGGTCGACACGTTAGTAAGTATACAGGCAAGCCTGGATGGTCGAGCTCACGTAGTCGTTCCAGGACTTCAACGGTATCGAGCGAGGGTCAAATTTGCCTTCATCCTGAGCAAAGTTAGCGAGATGCGGTCGTCAGCAGAGAAGTCACGTACGTGAACGACCATCTTCTTGCCACTCTCGCCGAGCACAACACGAGTCGCACCCCACGAGAAGTCGTCCATCTTCCAGAACGAGTAGAGCGGCAGGAAGAACGAGAAAGCAGGGATAGCGATGATGTAAAACACCATCCAGCCGATCATGTCCCACTTGCGCCTGAAGATGAACACCAATGCCTGAAGACCATAGACCGCGACAATCATGATGATAGACGTCGTGGGGATGGTCTTACCCTCGCCCGCGACGAGGTAGATGAGGTAGACGATCTGTGATGACATCAGCTAATGTTGCCAGCAACAAGATGGACCACTTACATAGGCGACGGTGACGGGTGCAATGATGGTGGACAGCAGGTCAAGCATGACGACGAAGCGCATGGAGAAACAGCAGAAACCGCAAAGCTGGTCAAGGAAGATAAGTTCGCCCAAGTTGTGCACGGTAGAGTTGATCCAGCGGCGACGCTGCGACAGCAAGACCTTCCAGTCGTCGGGAGCAACCGTGAACGCATGAGCATCGCGGACGAATTGGGTCTTGAAAAGCGGGAAGTGCTTGAGCAGAAGAGTCGTCAGGTAACGATCCTCTCCGAGATGCAGCAGGTTCTTCATGTGCAGCGTGTCGACGCGGTTCTCCGAGTAGTCCTCAATCATCTGGTTAGAAATGAGGAGCGGCTTGTGCGTGTCCGGGGTACGTAGACGATAGAGCGTGAAACAACCGGGTAAACAAGTGACGGAGCCGAAAAGAGATTCGAACGCCTTCGCCATGTGATGCGAAATGAAGTACTCGTAAACCTTGAAGGGATATTAGCATGAAGATACAGCCGTATGAATGCCTTGTGCGCACCTGCATCATGGTGATGATGGATTGCTTCGCGTTGGACAGCTCCGTCTCTCCGCAAACACCCAGCAACTTCTTGTCATGAATCATTCTGGAGGATCATCAGAACTTCCGGCCCTGCATGAGCAAGGCAAAGACTTACGCGGAGATGAGGCGGTTGACCGAATAGGGCTCCACTGTAGTATCGGCATCGATCATGAACACATACTCGTAGAAAGTCGGGTTGACACCGATGACATTCTTGATTTGGTGGTACATTTCCAGCTCGAGGGGGTTCATGGGCGAATTGAAGTGGACCTGATACGCAGTGAGCACTTGACGCATGCGCGATGGTGCACTACATACCTTGTTCAAGAACCGCATGAGCACCATCTGCGAATCACGCTTGCCGCGATTACCCGGACGCGAACGCTCGCTAGGCTTGCCGACCTTGACGACTACGAGATAGGGGACGACGTGGCCGGCACATTCGTACAAGCCAGAGTATACCTTGCCCATATTATGTTGCTTCGCACCTTCACCGAGCGACAAGAAGCTGAGCGGCTCCGGGTCGAGGTTCGGGTCAGCGCCGAGGATGTCCAAGACAATGCGCGGGGTCGGCTTGTCGTTGCCGGAACCAACGATCATACCGTCGCAAATGACGAGCAGAAGCTTGCGCTTGTCGTCGTACTTGAGCTGCGCCAGCGAATCAATGGTCCTCCGCAAAGACTTGTCGTCCTCCGTATAACATGGCACCTGGCAAATGACGAACTTGTCGTGGTCCTCTGGAGCGCGAGGCGAGGCAAAGTTTACAGATGCCAAGAACTTGAACGCGATGACGGAAACCATGATTATGGAAAGGACGAGAAGGATGTAGGTGGAGAAGAGGCACTGGGGCGAGTTGCGATTGTCGACCTTGCCGATGAGGAAGAGGTTGCGGAGACAGGTCCGCTGTCGCGCCAGCGTGGCCGAATCGATGTTCAGATTCTCCATCTTCTTCGTAATGTCGCCTCCTGCGTTGTACTTGAACAGGTCAACAACGCTGTCGTCCATGAACCACTTGTCTGTATCGGTAGGCGCCTGTGTGCCATCCGGCGACTTGAGCGCCGGGCCATACTGGATGTAATCGGAAAGGTCGTAGACCATGTTGTCGATAATCGCGACAGACGACCCGCTGGACGCCTTGTTCTTCAGCTCCTTCTTGGTCCAGCCTATGAAACCGACACGCGATGTCCAACGCATCTCCGTCATCGACTCGTAGTACCAGTCCGGTCGGGAGTCGTTCGTCCAAGCGCGGAAGTCGTGATACTTCGCGTACTCGTCCGTGACGTTGCTGACCTCCATGGACACGAACGGACTGACCGAGCCGTCCTTGCCGTTGCAGACTGCGCTAACCTGGATGGATGTCAACAGCGTTCTCGATGTTATACGTGATGAACGCACCTGAACAGGAAAGATGTCGTCCGAAGAACCACCGCCATAGTTGTCCAAAATGGTCTTCTGGTCGACCACGCTGACGACGCGACCATGAATCTCGGAGATCCTGTTCAGGTTGAAGACTTCGCCGCGGATGTAGGTGTACACAGAATCGGGACTGTCGTCGTAGTTGTGCTCGGCGACGTCGCCCGTGCTGTAGACGTGCTGCGTCGGACAGATGATATTGCCGAGGATCGCGATGACGAAGACCGCGCAGCCACAAATGAACCAGATGAGCATGTTCAGCGCGAGCTTTTCTCTCCATGCCTGTTGCACATCTGGCCGCTTCATCCGCCCGACCCATGCAAGACACGGCGTCGGTACCCAGAAAGTAAGGATCCAGCACAACATGACCCAGCGACGCCTGGCCGAGCTCTCTTTGATGATCTCCGTGACCTCGCCATCCTGGATCTCGCCCGGAAGTGCCTCCTTGTCCCCGAGGCCCTTCTTGTCCGCGTTGCCGAACATGTTCCTCGACGGCGCGTAAGACTCGGAGCCAAAGTTCGACGAGTCGTCGCGGCCAGTGAAGCGGCTGCGTCCATCGAAGTCGTCGCTGCGAAGCGAACGGCTTTCGTCGAACTCATCATCGTACATGTCGGCGCCGCGGTTGAAACCAGCAGCATTAGCGACAAGCGGCAGACGCTGATTGGAGCCGTTGTAGTCGTCACCGTAGCCCGTGCTCCAGACATGGTCGCCCTCAGCGTTCGGTGATGTCGGATACGGCGCGTAGGGGTCACCACCTGTCGCAGTGAGACCACCAGCAGCCTCGGCATCGCGCATGCGGTTGCGCTTCTGCTCTTCGGTATCCCGAGACCGAAGCTGATCCTCGAAACGGTGGAAGGCGCCATGAGAAAGGAACACCTGCATCGCATGTCAGAATATACGGGCGGTGAGCAAGGAATTGTATCTTACCTTGTGCTTGCCAAGGACGATGTCGGTGTCCAGCATACCATACGCAGCACGCGTCTGGTCGACCTTCTCCCGATCCGTGCCCTCGGTGACGCCGAGCGACTCCAGGTCGTCCTTGTACCTCTCGCAGAACTCCTCCGGCGTCATGCCAACCTCGAAGACCACCGTGTTCCTCCTCGCCACCTCCGTAAGGCCCGCACTGCGCACCTGACCCTTCACGCTGCGCCCCTCGAGCTGATTCGGCAGCTGCGAGTCGTTGGGGTTGATGCAGAACACATACCACGACTGCGTGTCCTCCATGGTCTCGAAGAGCGTGTCCAGCGCACTGCGGAACTCGCCAACGACACAAGGTGAGCGGCCTCCTGAGGGTGCTTCCTGCAGCGTCTCCTCGTCTCCTTTCTCGTCGATGTCAGCCGTTGACGGGGCGCGGGCGACACCTCGCCTGATGGTGTTCTTACGCCGGGTCGACGGGGCACGCATCGGCTTCACAACTTGCTGCGCAGCGACGATAGTCTCTTCGTTGCGCGGGTGCGCCTGTGTGGCGATGGCCTTCGCAGAGAAGAGGCCCTTGACGAAGGGGTTGTCCGAGCCGGACGTATCATGAGCATCGGCGGCACCACGAAGCAGCGAGACAAAGTCGGGGTTTAGCGCATCCAGGTTGCGCTCGAGGAAGCTCTCCGCTGAGTATGTGACGGGACCGTTGAAGTGAGAGACGGTAAATGTCGGGAACCCGCTGCGGTCGAGCCCACCAGCGCGGAAGGAAGTGTGATTTCCCCAGCGCTTCTGGAACGCCTCCACCATCGTCTGGTCCGTCTTCTTCGGCAGCCTGCGCGACTGGTCGTCCATGATGTGGATCAGACCACCGGGCTTGTTCTGCAGCAGGCGAACGCACTCCGAGTTGTCGAAGTAGGGGACTTGGGGAACGTAGTGCGCGATACCCTCTGCAGCGTACTCGTTGACATGGTTCTCGAAGAGGCGCTTCTGGATGAAGTTGTGCAATCTCTCGTTCGCAAAGTTGACGACGAACTGGTCCAGAGAGTTAGAGCGGCTGGTCATGTTCTGGGGACCCGGGAGATCGAAGAGGCCGATGAAAGTCGCGAAGTCGTCCTTGCACAGGCGCTGGTTGATATGCTCGTTCAGCCATGCAAAGAGGAGGGAGTACAGCGTCTTCGCGAGGTCGTCTCTGTTGTCGGATGCGCCGTCGGGGTCGAGGAACACCGTACAGAGCTCCTTCTTGACGAGCTTCGTCTTGTACGACAGTGCGGACTCGAGAGTCGCCGGCGTCACGCCGAGAAACTCGGCGACGATCTCCAGCTCATCGACATTCCGCACGACCGCCGCGTCCTCGTTACGATGACGATCAATGGTGAACTCCAGGTTTCCGAGATGCAGAATCGCCGCGATGAGCTGACATGTCTGAGCCACGTGGCGCTTAGACAGCCCTATGGTCTTCAGCGCGACCTTGAGCTGATCAAAGCGGTTCGCGTCCTCGCTCTTCATGGGGGCGCCGCGGGATGCGCCAAGGTAGCGGTAGGTGGCCTTGTCGGTGAGGTGCATGTGCTGACGCTCTTCCGGAGCCGCGCCGGCGACGAGGTAGTAGAAGATGTGGAAGTTGCGTTCGCCATTCGGGACCGCAGAGACTCGGGAGCGTTCGAGGTAGTAGTCGAGCGTTTTGATACCGCAAAGTCGACCTCGGTCAGAGAACTGAAGCTCGGTGTACTTGCCGAAGCGTGATGCGTTGGGGTTGAAGAGCGTGCGAGCGTTGCCGAACGTCTCGAGCACGAACTCGGCAGCGGGGATTTGGGACGCGAGCTTGGAGCCCTTCTTGCCGGGGCTGCTGACTGAGAGCTCGATGATCGACTTGATGGCGAGCCGCCTGTTCTCCGACTTCCCACTAGCCGTCTCGCCGCTGCAGTGCCGGTCTGTCAGCGGTGCTTATTGTGTGGGAGATGGCAGCGCACCTGAGCAGAATCGACTGGTCCTGGTTCGTCCTGCGCATGTGGTAGTATGCATTGTTCGCGAGCTGAAAGATATGCGGGGGCAGCGGCTGCTTCTCCTCGCTGGTGTCCCGGTAGTCCGCCGCGTATTTGAACATGACGGAGTCGGCGTTGGAGGGGACGTATTTGTGCGGGTTAAGCGCCACCAGCGCGGAGGAGCCTATGTTCGTGTAGATGCTGTCGTTCATGAACCTCTCCCGCAGGCAGGCGACGATGGCATCGTCGGAGACGGGCGACAGCGTGGCGAGGTCGGTGACCGCCTCGAGCTGCTGGTGGGACGTCATGGCCGCGGAGGACCGCCTGTCCATGGTGAAAAGAGTCAAGGGATGTTAGGCTGCTAGCCTTTCAGCTCGCGGACAGCGGCGGCAGCGACGGCGGGTGGTGGGAACGAAACGAATGAGAAATTCAAGTGGGAGTCGAGGAGCAGATGGCGACCGATGTGACAGTGACATGGTCACAGCTTCAACACTGCCCGTTCTCCTCCTTCCAGACTCTTCCCCGACGACAACAAAATGGACTGCCCAAACTCGACGGTTATGTTCATCTCGTGTAACCAGACTCTCTCGGGCGTAAAGGTGGTTGTTGTAGATGAATAATGGATGGGAAAAAATCATAGCGGCGACAGTTAGCCGCAGCGAGCCCTTCAGGTCCAGAAGCCGACTTCAACGGAGAACAGCCCAGTTGAACTAAAGAGCAGACCTGAGGGGACAGCTCGCTGTTTCATTCATGCATACAGAGCACCTTGGACAGTCCAAGGCTTCAAGATATGTAGTTCTTTGTTTACGTTGTACAAAATTGGTTTATATTGGATCACTCTGAAGCGCTTACCACACCTTGTGCGTAGCTTTTTTCTCATCCTCCGTATCTGTCCCAAAATATCAGCCAACCCATTCCCGCGGCCAAATCCGTCGACTCACCAAAGATGTTGATGTCCCACTTGACCTTGTAGTTAAACGGCACGTTGTACCGAATCGGCTCCTTCAGCCCAACTTGCGAAATCGCCTGGAACTCTTCTTCGGTGAGCGTAGTGTCCCTGAAGTTGGACTCGATGCGGCTTGGGGTGACCGACTTCGGGATGACGGACATGCCCTTGTGCGCGCACTGGTTTTCACACAGGAGTCAGCCCGCCATGCGCAGTGCCAGCGAAGACTCCACCCACCCATGCGATCAGGATCTGTGCCGGGTCACGGCCCTGCTTCGTCGCCAGCTCCTGCACCAGGGGCGAGTCGATGATGCGCGCCTTGCCCGAGATCTGAAAGTGCGTATGTCGTCAGCGTCCGTGTATTTCTTAACCCCTTGCGAACAGGTTACTCACGTTGTTCCCCAGCGGGCTGTACGCCGTCAATTTGATTCCCTTCTCCTCGCAGTACTTCTCCAGCTCCGTCTGCTGCAGCGCCGGGTGCGCCTCAATCTGGTTCATCGCCGGCACCACGCCCGTCGCCTTGATAATTTTCTCCAGGTGTTCGACCGTAAAGTTCGACACGCCGATGCTCTTCGCCTTGCCGGTCTTCTGCACCTCGATCATGGCTTTCCAGGTCTCAACAATGCTCGGGGCGTCGGTGTCAATAATCATCTGCGTGCCGTCGGCTTTCTTGGTGGATAGCGTCTCGCCCGGAGGGAAGGGGACGGGCCAGTGGATCTGGTGGGTGCATCGGTCTGAGTATGCGCAAAAAGAAGATGGCTGAGCCTACGCACCAAGTACAGGTCCAGGTAGTCGAGTCCAAGCTGCTTCAGCGTCAAGTCCAAGTCCTTCTCAACGAGCTCAGGCCGGTGCGAGTTGTTCCCTAGAGCGTGTCAATGGCTTCGCTACTTCTCGCACCTCTTCATACTCACACAATTTCGACGTGATCCAGAGCTGCTCCCGAGGAACAGGTGACGTCTTTAGGGCCGCGCCGACCTGGCATAGAAGGCATGAGTCTCAGCGCAGGGTTGAATAGACCTCGTGCGAAGTCCAGCCTACCCACCTCTTCCTGGTTCTCGTAGATGAGCGCCGCGTCGATGTGGCGGTAGCCGACCTTCAGCGCATGCTCGACCGCGGCCTTGACCTCGCCCGGGGCACTCAGCCAGGTGCCCAATCCGATCAAGGGCAGCGTACGCCCATCGTTACTGCACCGCTCGCGTCAGTATACTTCGTCTATATGCGAGCCTCTATTCAAGTGCGCCCACTCACAGAGTCAAAGTACGACCGAGAGACATGATTCAAGCAAGCTAAGGATCTCAAGCCGAGTTGCAGGACGACGATGGCCAGAACCAAATCGCGATACCGCCCATGAACCCACTGATTTTATCTGGCGCCGTCACCCACTCCCAGGCCTCTCGCAATGACTTCACCTCCCATACCGCTCGCCACGTACTCTGGGCTACCGTATCGCCGACGGACGAAGGGTGAGGAGATCAGCCAGAGCACCCCGAGATCAACCAGGCCACCCCGCTGATCAGCGAGAGCATGACGCTGGCGGACGATGCGCGATTGATAGGCGCCTTGGCCGGCCCGGCGCGCCGCTACTGTATGCAGAGGGCGGACGCCCGAAGGAACCCCGCTGCGTCCTATGCAGTGCGCCTCATGACCTCGCCACTATTGACAGCGATCCTGTGGCTCGTCACACATAGGCGGAGGTGCTGAGTGTCATGCGACAGACTTGGTTGGCCAAGACGGACGTCTCCTGAAGGCAAGAGACGAACGAAGAAGTGAATGTCGGACGCCACAAGCTGAAGTGAAGGTCTGAATATGCCTGAATCGATGGTAAGATGAGACTAGTATACACTTATGATAGCGACGTGGATAACTTAGTCGAAGGACGTCCGGATATCTATCTACTCGAGTCCTCCACACATATGCAAGCAAGATCGCGAACGGCAGCCGCGCAACTTGCCCGCCCCCTATGCCGACTCCGCGACCTTGTTCTTGATCACGTCGACGATGCCCGGGTCAGCCACGGTGGACAGGTCCCCGAGCTGGTCGCCCTCGCCGGCGACGATCTTGCGCATGATGCGACGCATGATCTGTGAGTGGATTAGCGAACGACGTTCTGAGTGCACCGAGATAGTACTACGAACCTTGCCAGACCGAGTCTTCGGCAGGTCCGCCACGATATAGATCTTCTTCGGCGCCGCGAAAGGACCGATGACCTTGCGGACTTGGATGACGAGCTCCTTCACCAAGCTCGACTCATCTGCGGGGTCGTACGCGAACTCGGGCTTCAGCGTAACGAAGGCGTAGACAGCCTGGCCGGTGAGCTCGTCGGGCGTGCCGATGACCGCCGTCTCCGCCACGCCTTTGTGTAAGAGCAGCGCAGACTCGATCTCTGCTGTGGATAGACGGTGACCGGAGACGTTGATGACATCGTCAACGCGGCCCTTGATCCAGATGTAGCCGTGCTCGTCGCGGGCAGCGCCGTCGCCGGTGTAGAAGTAGCCAGGGTATGGCTTCATGTACGTCTCGAGGTAACGGTTATGGTCCTGGTAGACCGTGCGAGCAATTGACGGCCATGGGCTCTTGATCGCCAAGACACCCTCGACGTTGTTGCCCTCGAGCTCCTTGCCGGATACGGGGTCGAGGATGGCAGGCTCGATACCGAAGAAGGGGACGGTGGCGGCACCAGGCTTAGTCTCGATGGCGCCGGGGAATGGCGTGACGACGATGGAGCCGGTTTCGGTTTGCCTGCACCACAGTCAGCGGAAGAGAACGAGGGATAGACATAGGATACGCACCAAAAGGTGTCAACGATCGCGCACTCCATCTTCCCAACATGCTCGTTGTACCAGTTCCAAGCCTCGGGGTTGATCGGCTCACCAACACTACCCAAGACACGAAGGCTGCTTAGGTCGTGGTTCTCAACGTGGTGGGAGCCGAGGCGACGGAGCAGACGGATAGCTGTCGGCGCGGAGTAGAACTGCGTAAGCTTGTGCTTCTCGACAGTCTGCCAGTAGCGCGACGGAGTGGGGTATACGGGGGTGGACTCGAACACGGTGGTGGAGACACCGTTGGCAAGCGGGCCGTAGACGATGTAGGTGTGGCCAGTGATCCAGCCGATGTCGGCCATGCACGCAAACTTGTCGTCGGGGTGGACATCGAAGACGTATTTGACGGTCATGGCAGCACCGAGCAGGTAGCCACCCGTGGTGTGGACGACACCCTTCGGCTTGCCGGTCGAGCCAGAGGTCTGTAGAGGACGTCAGGAAGGAGATCCAAACCTAAATAACGAGCACGCACATAAAGAATGAAGAGGGGGTCCTCAGAGGCCATGATCTCGGGCGGGCAGTAGTTCGGGACCTTCGCAGTCTCCTCGTGCCACCAGATATCGCGCCCCTCTGTCCAAGCAACATCGTTGCCGGTGCGCTTGAGGACGACGACGTGCTCGACCGCCGGGCATTCCTTCAGCGCCGCATCCACGATCGCCTTCGTCGCGATCGTCTTCCCACCGCGGCGGCCCTCGTCCGACGTGATGACGACGCGCGAGCCGCAGTCCAGAACGCGGTCGCGCAGGGACTCGGCGGAGAACCCGGCGAACACGACCGAGTGCACGGCGCCTATCCGGGCACAGGCGAGGAAGGCCGCGACAGCGTGCCAGGTCATGGGTAGGTAGATCGAGACGGCATCGCCCTTCTTGACGCCGAGGCCCTTGAGAACGTTCGCGACCGAGCACGTCTCGCGCAGGAGCTCTGCGTAGGAGACGGTGCAGCCGTCGCCCGGCTCGTCCGCCTCGTAGATGATGGCGGTCTGTGGGATTTACAAATGCGCGTAAGGTTGACCCGCTCGTTGGGGGAGTCAAAGCTTTGGGGCGTACCTTGTCCGGGTGCTTGAACGCCCATCGGTCAACGCAATTGTAGGACGCGTTGAGGCCGCCCTCTGGGAACCAAGCGATGTCGCCGGTCTCGAAGCCTCCAGAGCGCACTGTCTGGAAGGGGCGGTCCCAGTGAAGCATCTCATGGGCCATCTGCTGATCGGTGAGTTCTAGTCGGAGGGGGGAATGCATCCAACGCACCTTCGCCCACCACTTGTCCGACTCCTTTCCGACTGTCTCTGCATGGGCGGTGCGGTATGCATGGATGTGGGGGCCGATGTGCGGCTTCTTGGTGCCCTTGGAGGCGAGGCGGGGGGCGACGGGGTGGATGGGGACCTGCTCAGCTTCGGCCATGGCGATGGGAATAGGACGCGATGAGGGGCGGAGACAAGAAGGACGGAGGACTTTATATTCGGACGCGATCCCGGTCACACGCCCGCGCGCGTGAGTCCCGCCGTCACGCTCTCAATGGCGGTCACGCTATGCGGGGTATCCCCGAATGGCTTTCCTGAGACTCATTCCGCTGCGGGGGTCTATCTTGGCCATCATCCGAAGGGCTCCCGTGCCCGCCACCGCGAGCGCTGGCGGTGCGAGCGCGCCCCCGACCGTCGCTTGCGCGGCGTTTGAGCGGCTTGACGCTCTATCGTTCGACGTCGACATTAGCAGACGGTCTGCGACCCAAGCGGCGGTCTAGCAAAAGTGAATCGCAGCGCACAGGAGTACTGACAAGAGTCGGAAGGAGCGCCGCATCCCGCCCTGCCTAATCGCAAGTCGAGCCAGCCACGTGAACGGAGAGCCGATGGCAAATGCAGCGGAGGTCCCGTGGTGCTCCTCCAAGCCCAAGGGCGCAAATACGACGTGACGGCCAGTCCATCGCATACCGTCCCAATCACTGGCGGCGCTATCAGGTCAGAAGACGCGCGAACCAAGAGAAGGTACGCCATACCAAATCCCGATCCTTCCTCGAAGGAAGTACGCGAAGCCTTCGGAAGGCCTTGCGGGCGCTAAGCAGCGCTAGATGAATGATATGCTTGCGTTATGGACTCACAAGCGAACAGAGGCGGACGGGCAGAGGCAGATAGGTCGACTGGGCGTTCCCCCTCTTCGTTCGCGCAAGTGCGTCCGAGATGCGGGGCAATACTATACCCCAGACATATTTTGCTCCCGACCGACGAGCGCCCTTGAACATCACAGAGATGCAGGTGTTTGTAGTCTCGGTGGCTGCGTACCAACGTCATACCTGGATCGGGTGACCGAACGGAATACAAGGGCTGCCGAATCGAGCGAAGAACAATCTGGCGGCCATTGTCAGCATATTCAGGCGCGACCACCGCCTCCTTCTGGCTGAGAGGGCTCGAAACTCACCTGGTATGCCATAGAAAAGACCCCTCGTAGACATTTGTGGCAACGTATTTTCGAAAGTAACATATCTACGCACCCATTTCTTGAATGCGCGCCTCGACTCCCAAAATTATAAGCGCACACCAGCTCGCTCGCACCTCCGCAACGCCACCCACATCCTCGGAGGCCCGAGTACGTGTGAGCACGTCTGGCGGGACACCAGCGAAGCAGAACTTTGGGGATCGCCAGGGTTGCAGGATGCACTTCATCCCGCTCGGCACAAGCAGCAGCGTGCGTCGGCACAGTCGAAGGCGCTCGTCGGCATGCTCGAAGACGCGCAGCCGGCACGTCTAGCAGGCGGTCGGCAGAAGGAAAGCAGCCAGCAAGCAGGAAAGACTTTGATATGCGCCTTCCAGGCCTCAAATATCTTGGGGAGGCCGCGATGGTTGGGGAGGATGCATGCGTACTTGAGTGTTCTCAACAAGGGATGATACGGCCACGAGGGAGGCCGGAAGAACCGCGGCGTGGGAAGGTGAGGAAGTTGCCGAAAGATCAGCTGACCGCGAGACAACAGTCACGAGCTCGAAGTTGAACTTAGGGTTCGGATCCGCGCCTAGACCGGTGATCATGAGTGATCCTGCAAGCTGCTGGATATACCCAGTGCCGGTCTCCATGCAAGATTGCTATACATCTCTGGAACCATGCGCTCTTATTTACTACGAATCTAGGTTATAAGCTGGTGTCGCACAAACTCAAGTACGGTAGTATCCCTGTTCCCTTCGGAATTCCCGGGAGTAGACTTAGCTCCAGTTTGTCGCTGGCTTCTTATGAAAGAATAAGAAGAAAAGGTCTAGCTTGAGCTTGAGCAGACGTGAAGTATATCGCAAGGTTAGCAAGAACGGATACATCGTGGAAACGTCATCTTTCTCTCCTTTTTCCGCGTCTATCGGTGGCGATTCGTTTGGCGCGATGTGACTGGGTGTGCCTACGATGACTCATGAAGCTCCAAGTATGAAGAGTTCGCGGGCGGACCTCGGAGGACCAGGAGCCAGCTGCGGCTGCACAGCAGGGACAACGTTCGTCGAGGAAGGGTGATGTCGTTAGCAATACAGTCACACACTTCTGGATAAAGCAAGTACAGTAGCAATACATCGGCTTCTCTTCTCATATCTACGATAGTCCTTCCGCATAGACTGACCATGAATCAGCACACATCAGTCACGATTCAGCGAAAATCAGATCCGCACAACAGATAGTACAACAGATACAACGGCCTTTCTCACTTCTCGCTTCTCCAAATCCGCCCGAGGACGATGACGTTGAATTACTGCGCAACGGCCGTCGACCGCGCATTATCCGAGCCCTTGACGAGCTCGAGCAGGTCGACCGGCTTGCCATCGCTATTCAGCGCCGCCTGAATGAACGCCACATCCCTCAGCGCATCCCGCGGCTCGCCGACCTCCAGCGCGTCCGCCTTCCCCGCAATAGCATCAAAGAACGCGCCGAGCTCGTGCTGCACGCCCTTCCCCTGCGGCACCTCCGCGACGTCCTCGTCTTCCCTGTATTCCTCCTTGTCACCCGACGCCTTCCACTTCGTCGTGACGCGGTAGAGCTTCTGGTCAGGGACGATTTTGATGCCGATCCAGCCCTTGGTGCCGATGAAGACGTAGTCGTCGGTGTCTGCCTTGGATTTGGTGGGGGAGGCGAAGGTGATGGTGATGTTGCCGTGCGCGCGGCCTGCGGCTGCGATGGCGTGAATGGTGTCGTGCGGAGGGAGGATCTCCCGGTTGAGAGCAGCGAAAGACGAGATGGTCTCAATCGGCTTCCCCAAAACAGTGCGCAGAGCTGCTGCGAAGTGCTACAGTTGGATTGTCAGAAAATCTGGTCAAAGATTAGAAAATCGTGACCTTACAACTCCTCCGTCAAGCTGCAATTTTCATGAGTACTTCTTAGCTTGTAGAGAGAAGATTACTTACCAGGAAGCCGCCTTGGTACTGCAAAGGATCTATCAATTGAGCGTTCATGTGAAGTAGGTCAACGCTTACCTGCGGAACCGTGCGCCACGGCGTGTTGTAGTACTTGTTGTCCACTTGGATGTGATTTACGACCGTGGCCCTAAAGGAGATCACATCCCCGATTTTTCCCTCCTTTACGAGCTTTGCCGCGGTCACGAAACCATTCTCAAGCTCGAAGTTCTCGGCTACACGCCAGATGAGCCCCTTGGGCTTGAACGCGTCTTCGTACTGCTTAATCAGCTTCACGCCCTCATCGACATCTGGCGCAATCGGCTTCTCGCTGAGGACGTGCTTGCCAGCAGCGAGAGCCTTCAGGATGATATCGGGCTGGGTGAGGATCGGCAGGATCACGATGACAGCAGAGATGTCTGAGCGTGCCAGCAGCGCGTCGAGAGAGTTCTCCTTATTCCCGCCATCGTGGTAGATCGCTGGTGAATCCGACAGACCGAGGGTAGAGACCGCGGTCGACGCCGTGTCCTTTGCACTCTTCTCAGACCGGGAGTAGACGGCTCTCAAGGGCGGTGCGCCTGCCCCCAGCGCGGCTAGGGCGGGAATGTGGGCTGAATGGCGGCGATGTCAACATCTTCATAGACCCAGGAGGCAAGTATCGAACTGCACGCACCCTCCTTGGCGAAGATGCCTGCTCCGAGGATAGCGATACCCGAGGTGGTGGACATGGTGATCTGCGCTGCGTTCAGTCGTTCAGGCCTGGGTGTTCAGCTCAACCCGCAGACTGCTCCCGACGAGGAGTCCCCGAAAACGTGGCGTGCACCGACGGCAGCTGACCCGACATTTCTCCGGGCGTCTCTTGGAATAAACGACGGTCGCCTGCCCCAGCACTCGATGCGTCCAGCCGCTGTGTCGCTGTGCTTCGCGCGAATGGGCCTGAACGGCGTCTGGAAAGTGGCTTTGGACGGATCAAAATTCCTTCCCCTGCGAGTGGCCAGCTGACCCTCCGCTGCCCCTCTCGCGGCCCACTTTCCGGTTTCATTTGCTGCATGTTTTTGTGGCCTCTCCGACCATCGCCCCTCTGCGCTGTCTCCCCCTGAGAAACAAATCGCAACCAGGGCGGAGGAACACGGAGATTCTCGTCGAAAGCCCGCTGATGACCTCCACGATCACGTTCATCTTCAAGGCAGCCTTCACGCTCCGGACGTCTCTCGCATCGTTGTGCTCGGCGATTTGTCGGCGCTCGTGCCATTGAATTTCGCTCAGGAACTGTCCTATCGGAGCATTGAGCTTCGCTTATAAGACCTCCGCTGCTCGCCATGTCCCCCAGACCCCGCGGCTCCCCCTCAATACCCCACCATGGCCGCGACAACTGTTCAGAAGAAATTGCCCAAGGACTTCATTTGGGGCTTTGCGACTGGTAGGCTTCCGGCACATACGCGTTGTACGCATCTAATGCGTCTTCAGCGAGCTTTCAGATCGAAGGATCTACCGACGTTGACGGCCGTGGCAAGTCCATCTGGGATGATTATTCCCGTACGCCTGGAAAGACGCTAGACGGACGCAACGGCGACGTCGCCACCGACTCATACAAGCGATGGAAGGAGGACCTTGACCTCCTTGCCTCATACCATGTGTACGTCCTCCAGTGAATGCACACGACTCCTTGCTAACTCCCGCATAGCAAATCCTACCGCTTCAGCATCGCCTGGTCGCGCATCATCCCCCTCGGCGGCCGTGACGACCCCATAAACCCCGCCGGAATCAAGTTCTACTCCGATCTCATAGACGGCCTCCTCGAGCGAGGCATCATTCCGTTCGTGGTACGTGGCTTCGTCGAGATCTCGACTTGACCTTTGCCGACAAAGTCCCGCAGACCCTATACCACTGGGACCTCCCCCAAGGCCTGCACGACCGCTACGGGGGCTGGCTCAACAAGGATGAGATCGTCAAGGACTACACGAACTACGCCCGTGTATGTTTTGAGAACTTCGGTGACCGCGTCAAGTACTGGTGAGTGGTTTCTCGTTAAGATCTAGGATTCGATCTCATACAGCATTAGGCTCACCATGAATGAGCCATGGTGCATTTCCATCCTTGGTTATGGTCGTGGCGTCTTCGCGCCTGGACGTTCGAGCGATCGCTTCCGGTCCGCAGAGGGCGACTCCTCTACCGAGCCTTGGATGTAAGTTAATCGCTTCCTCGCGCAAATTATCATGCTCAACAGTCGTTAGTGTCGGCCACAACGTTATCCTCTCGCACGCCAACGCCGTCAAGCTATACCGGGACGAGTTCAAGTCGCGGCAAGGCGGCCAAATCGGCGTCACTCTCAACGGCGACATGGAGCTGCCCTGGGATGACAGCCCAGAGAGTACGTCCCGCGGCTACTCGTCGCAGAATATCCGGCTAATATAGCAAAATTTCTAGACATCGCAGCCGCCCAGCACGCGCTCGACTTTGCCATCGGTACGTGGTACTTTCCCCTCGCCCATATGTGCCATTTAACCGACAATTTCGCCAGGCTGGTTTGCGGTGAGTGTCCCCGCGTCGTCCACCTGGACCGTGTTCTGAACGGAACCGCACGCAGGACCCCATCTACCTCGGCCACTACCCCGAATACATGCGTGGAGTGCTCGGCGACCGTCTGCCCACTTTTACGCCAGAAGAGTGGGAGGTCGTCAAGGGCTCGTCGGACTTCTACGGCATGAACACGTATACGACCAACCTTGCGCGTGCGTGTCCGCCTTCATTCACTTGTCCATCCATCCGCCTGTTCATCCACCGCGCCCACCGTCCACTCCAAGCACCATTCACTGCGATTTTGCCTCGTTTGCTAACTTCGATTCGCAGGCGCCGGTGGAGATGACGAGTTCCAGGGCCTGGTGGACTACACGTTCACGAGACCCGACGGCACTCAATTGGGCACGCAAGGTCCGCAATGTCCTGTTCCTGGCCCGGCAGCTTCTTACCTTATTTTCAGCACACTGCGCGTGGCTGCAGGATTGTTCGTAAATTCCTATTTTGGCCAAGGTACACGACTGAACACAGTACAGACCCTGAGGGCTTCCGCCAGCTTCTCAACTACTTGTACAAGCGGTACAAGTTGCCGATATAGTAGGTCGACATCAATGACGACGTGGACAGAATTTTAACATTTCCGCAGCGTCACCGAGAACGGCTTCGCCGTCAAGGACGAGGACAGCATGCCGAAGGAGCAGGCCATCAAGGACACCGACCGCGTGAACTACTTCCGCGGCAACACGAAAGCCATTCTTGACGCTGTGAACGAGGACGGTGTCGACGTCCGCGCCTACTTCCCATGGAGTCTGCTCGACAACTTCGAGTGGTACGCAACAGAAGCTTCTCTTCATGTTGGAACGCGTTAACACATTTTACAGGGCCGACGGCTACGTGACGCGCTTTGGCTGCACCTACGTCGACTACGAGACGCAGGAGCGTACGCCGAAGGACTCGGCGAAGTTCTTGGTGCAGGTGCGATCATAATCAATCCTCACAACGAATCATCGGCTCACATACCCTCAGTGGTTCGCCGAGAACCAGGAGCCTTCAGACCCCGCCGTCAAGCGGCCACCCTTGCAACCAGCCGTCACCGACGAGAAGAGCGCTGCGTCCACCTTGGTTGCGACCGAACCAGACACATCGAAAACCGCCGCCGCGGCGAAGGCACCTGCCGGCTTCATCAAGTCGTTCGTCGGACGTTTCCGCCGTGCTGTGACGACACTAGTCAAGTAAATCCCGCCTGGTCAAGTCGGTCGACCTAGTCAGGTCAGTCGACGACTCTGGTCAGATAAATGGACACGTATATACTTCGTATCTCGTAGAGGGATCTCTGGGCTGCCACTGTAATACTTTATATCTCGCGCTGTACATTTTGTGTCGTGTTCTAGTCTATAGCTCTTTCTGTGCGCCTTTGTGTACCTACCGTGACGACCTTTCATGATGTCTATTCTATCTGTTTCTGCCTCCTTTTGGCAGGGTTGCGAAGCCTTCAGAATCAAGCACACACCACCAGTGTCTAAAGTATGGAAATGCTGGGAGTACTTGAAATAAAACTCAAACTTGACATTGTGTGTAGCTTGTACCTGTACCGCTTGAAGCCCTTGAGGCCGCGAGCGTTGGCGAAGTCGAACATTGGTCACGTCACTTATAGCGCGGTCACGGCCTTGCGTCACGGATGTCCTGCTCTTGTCTCAGGCTTCTATCCTGTTCTAGCACCCAACTCGACGACATCCTGAGGCTTTTTGCTTCACTGACTGCCAAAGCGCACTGCTGTGTGTATGTATGTATTTCCTGAAGATGATCTCATGCCTGGGGATCCAGGGCATGTACTCTCAATGAGTCCTGACTCCGTCGCGTAGTCCCCCAGAAACAAAGAATGGCCCCAAAATTAGGCATATACGCGAAGGAGGCTCGCGTATGCCAGAATTGTCATAAATCGCAAACCGAAGTCAAGTTGCTGAGCTGCAGGTCCGTCTCCTTTCCTATCTTCGCGTGCTAATGACTGACCTGCTCGTTCCAGTAAGTGCAAGCTGAGCCACTACTGCGTGCGTAATGCCTTAACCTTGGGCCGCCTTCCATGCGCCAAGCTTACCAGCGGCTGAGCACAGAGCCGCGAATGCCAAGTCGCGCACTGGCCGTCGCACAAGGCGCAGTGTAAGCTGAACGCAGAGACGAGAGAAAAGCTGAAGGCACGATCTATCGGTGGCGATCAACCAGACATCGTCGAGATCAACCGCAAATTCAAGGAATGGCAGCAGGTATGCGCTTCACTGCATCTCAGCCTTCCCGCCGCTTTTGAGGCGCATATATGCCACCTGCAGGCTACTTGGTTATCACTTGCCCTTCACCTAACACCCGGCCTCCCAGATCTTCCGCCCCCTGTTCCACCACACGCAATGCAGCGCGCTCGACCTCTTCTCCGACCCGCACCGCGCCTCCACGCACCTCCTCCACGTCGTCCTCACCCTCAACCCGCGCCCGCGCAAGCCGCACAGCGCCGCCTGCGCCTTCCTCGTCCAGGACGTCATCGTCCTCCCTATCGACGAGTTCTTCGAGATGCTCCCGCCGCCCGTGCGTGCGCAGCTCGAGGTCGCGCGTGCCGACCATCAGGAGCAGACGCGGCAGATACGCAGGGTGAATCCCAACGCGCCGGGTAGTGCGCTGATGATTGCGACGCTGGAGGGGTACCATATTACGAGGTTGATTCCGGCGATTTTCGAGGACCCGCCGGCGGAGTATAGGGAGTACGACCCGGACTGGGAGATGATGTTCAGGGAGCATGTTGCGTTGGGGAAGAGGATGTGATGGTGTCGTGAGGTATACTTACTACTGACTTGCAGTTGCTTGCCCATGCTTCGCCCTGCTGCTTCGACGATTCCGAAACAGATTCTCTATTAGTGTACAAGCCCTCGATAGTAGTATACGGGGCGGAAGGGTTACATAGATACTCTACTTATATCGTTCAATATTCAGCACTTGATGAAATTACCGACGATCATGCTGGGGATTCCCCACTTGTCGCGCCGGATGGTGAAGGAGAAGCAACAATTGACGAAGCCCTCCTCGTTAGATACAGGATTACCGTCCTGCAAGACCCGTCAGATATATCATAGCATTCCGATACAAGACAACGCGTACCTTCGCTGTCGCGCTATTCAGGTTCGGTTTATACCGAAGCACGCAGGAAGTAAGCACGGCCTTCTGGCTCGAATCGAACGCGACATGACCGTATTTCTGCCCGGCTTGTCAGTTGCAATTTTTGAGATCGATGACATTGCGCTTGCCTCCCAGTAGTTCACGGCACTCTCCTCCGCCATGAGCTCGTATATGCAGAGGCGACCCTGTTGGCAGATGAGTCTTTAAAGAGATTCTGTATACAAATCATAGCTCGAGTCACCTCCCGCATCATGTACCCATCCACGCCGACGAGCTCGGTGAATTCGCGGTTGCCCTTGTATATTTCACCGGTGCGGCGCCACAAGCACGCCGGGACGCCCATGGCGGAGAATACACGGTCGTAGTCGAGGAGCATGCGCTCGAAGGCTTCTTCGATGAAGACGAGGTCCTAGGACGAAGGTCAGCATGCCAGCAAGGTGAGTGAGCTCGAAGGGAGAGATGTGGTTTGGCAGGAGAAAGGGAGGCACGCAGGGGTAAAGGTACGATATGGTAGAGGACAAAGGACGGAGGGGCTATTGTGGCGACTCAGGATGGATGGCGCAAAAACGTGTACTGAGAACCCTATCGGACGACTAGGTACTGACGATGTCGCGTAATGATTGCGCAACGGCCTGTACGAAGATTAGCAAGGGTTCTGGATACGGAGGAAATATACATACGCGGAACTTCGGTCTCAAGACGGACAGAGGTTGCAAGATCTGCTGCTTCGACGCTTGCGATACACTGCGTCAAAGAGCATTAGCACTGATCCCCCCTCGCAGCGTCATTACAACGCACTTGCGATCCATCCACCTCGACAACCGCGCGTACCCTTTCACATAATTGTACGGCTTGAGCAAACCCGCTTCGTACTTGCTGCGAATCACCCTATTCAGCCGCTCGTCACGAGACCCCGACTCCTGATCGGCCGCCGTCAGGAGGAAGCGCTCGGTCTTCGTCGCGGCAGGGAGGATGACGGGGGCAGGCTCCTCCTTGATCTTCGGCTCGTCGGACGCGGTGGCGGGTGTCGAGGCGGAGGGAGAACTCTCGCTGGGGGCGGTGGCGCTCGGGGCGGTTGTAGTTGCAGAGAGAGCAACAGGGGCTGGTGGTGGCTGTTGCGTGGTGGGCACGGGCGGTGGAGGCGCAGCGGAGGAGACGAGGGAGGGGGTGATGGTGGCGGGTGGGGTGAAGAAGGTGCCGTCATCAAGGGTCTCGAGAAAGTCGCTAGAGGGATGTGAGTACGGAGGAGGGGGTAGCGACAGTCAGGACGTACGTGAGGACGGAGAACTCATTTCCTAGGGTGTCGGGCTGGTAGAGGAAGGGGCCCTGCGGCACGTTCAGCGGCCAAGCCGGCGCTGGTGGGGCAGGGGCTCCAGTGGCGGGGTAGATGTGCGCTATTCAAGTCAATCATGGTGCTCGTCTGACGAGAAGTACGAGCGCACCTGGAGGTGCTTGAACCTGCGGACGCTGCTCTGCTGCAGGAGCCGAGTACGACGGCTTCTCTGGCTGCTTCGGACGCTGCTCGTCATGGCACAAGTGCCCGATCTCTCGCTTGATGCTGAACAACCTTCAGCCAACGAGCTTCGCGCCATTACACCACCCCAGCTCACCAGCGCTGGCAGGGTCGGCCCTCGTCGCATGTCATATGGCTGCGCCTGCAGTACAGACACGCATGGTTGACCTTCCTCCGCTTCGCTGGCTTCTTCTTCGCCTTGCCGTCGTCCTCGGGTGGCGGGTGGTTGAGTGACGACTCGGTCTGCAGCGATGAGGATGCGGTGGGTGTTTGAGCCATGCTCGCAGGTGTATAGAGGATGCTTTATGACCTTCCCTAGTTGGGAACAATGGGAGTCCGAGAGCCGCAACGCGTCGAGCGTTCGTGATGGGTAAAATACAAAGCCAAGATGGAAGATTAATACGCCACGCGCGCGTGCCTGGACATCGGCACGTGCGGGGAATGGTTAGACTCGCGTGGCCAGTCCAGCTCGCAGCTCACGGATCACATGGCGGTTCGCGAGGAATTGCCAATGTGATCCGCGAGCTTGCGAGCGGACTGGGCTACTCCGGGAGGGTTTTGGCGGGCCCGCCAAAAGATGCGTTTGACTTAGTGAGATTCAACGCTGGCCCGCCACGCTCCGTCGACGTGAATCTTCCTCATCCGTTGTGACTTCAGACTGTGGCCGGAAAATCGTGGTATTTCACTCCAGTAGATGTAGGGAATCCAGTAAATGAAAATATTGAGGCAGAAAAAGCAGAAAATGGCAACATACACGACTTTTTGAATCAATGGACCCAAAGATCTGAGCAGGGTCTTACTAGGAGTTGTTTGTGGGGATGAGGGAGACTGGATGATTGTCCTGTATTAACGTTAAGAGGTAGTCAGCCAGAATGGAGGAGTGTACGAGAGCATCAGCGAGCGAGCAGGCCTTCACCTCCACCTCTTCCTCGTCTACTCCTCCCGCCTCTTCGCCACCCGCGGCTCGTCCGCGCGCTACTGCTTGAGCCGTCGGTGCTCCTCCTGCCGCCTTAGCCGGCCGAGCCGCTTGCGACCCGAGATCTCGCGCGCTGTGCTCTCCTGCTTCCCGTGCCCGATGTTTGCGCTGCTGCCGCTCGGATGTTGCATGCTCGATCTCGAGCTCGAGGAAGGCCTTGCGCGCAGTGTCTTGCTCTTGCTCGCGGCGCCGCTCGACTTCGCGTTCTGCCTAGGGGCGACGCTGGCGCTCGTCTTCGTGTTGAAGGGCTTCCTCGGCCTCGCAGTCATGCTGGGGCTGCTGCTCATTGCAGCGGCATGCGCGCGCTTGGCGGGGTCGCGAATGATGACGACGGAGGCCCATTCGTGAGAAAAGGGAACAGCGTGATGCTGCACGGGCGGCAGAAAGGGCGTCCGATGCGCGAGCGCGGACTTGCGCGACAGAGCGACGAAGGCACTGGAGATGTCCGTGGATTCCCGCGGCAACTCGATCATGGTCGGCGTGCACACGTCGCCGCTGTGCGCGTCACTCGCGGACAGCGCGTCACTCGTCGTGAAGGACAGCTGCTCACATCTCCGTCCTCTGACCTCAGCAGCAGCAACGGTGTGGGCGAAAGGTTCGTGATGTGTGCGTAATAGCGATCTGCGAAGGGTGCTTTAGTAGTTGCTCGCGTGCACAGGGTAGTGGGCGAGTACTCGTGTGTCACGGAGACGACGGGATCCGCGCCGTCTGAGGTGCCGCTTACCGACGAAGGAGGAGAACGTGCTCCTCACGCGCGAGCGCAAAGGGAGCGGCAGCAATTGCAACCGAGGCAAGGAATCCTGCGCGAAGAAGGATCGGCGCGGCAATTCGAACTTGTCTGCTTCATGATTGGCGAGGGCGGCAGTCCTTGATGGTGCTCTGATTAACGTCCGCGCTGAAGCCGCTGTCGGAGGATCAGACCAGCACCTGCCCGATCGATGACAAACGTGTTGCGGGTGTCGGAGAGGGCTTGGGAGATAG